GCTGGTTGATGGTTTTTTGGAAGGCCTCCTGCTGCAGCTGCATGAGGATGCGGTTCGCTTGCTGCCGCTCTGCCTCCCTCTCCTCCGCCGTCTGCCTCCTAGGAGGGAAAGGAAGATTTTAGGAGGGCCTGGGCTGTGGGAGCAGAGGAGGGGCATCTCCGGAGAGAAAGGCCATGTGCTGCGTGCTCAGGGCTGGAGGCAGCCGGGAGAGGCAAGCAGGGGCTGAGCTATGACATGGCCCCACACCTCCGTGTGACAGGCAGCACAAACTGCGGTGAGTCCCATAAACGGGGAGCTGTGGCCCTTCTCCCAGCCCCTGCGAAAAATGCTCCCATCTGACCAAGCAGAGGGAGAAGCAGCTTGCTAGAGGTCACAACCCGAGCTGGCAGCAAAGCTGGGTTCCCTGCAAGCGCGTTTGGCACCCAGCAGCAAGACCTGAGGGTGCAACGCCCTGCTGAGCAACACGGGACCAGGGGGAAGGTCTGCAGGCGCAAAGCGAGGTTTGGCACCGCAAACGGACAGCGTGGCGCTGCTGGGGGACAGGCAGCGCCACCCCGGCCGTACGAGCAGAGGCCTGGCTGTAGAGTCCCCTTCCCCTGCGCGCAGAACAGCCGTCCCTTCTCCTGCACTACAGCAACATGCCCACAGCAGGCAGGGCAAAAATCACACACTTAAACCACAATCAAAATGTAGGGTAGATACTAGAAATGGACTTTTAGCAGCAAGTACAATGAGCAGAAGAAACTGGGCAGAGCAGAGGAAGAAATTTTTAAGAGCAGGTTGGACACGTGTCTGGCTGGAATGACAGGGGCTCCTGCCGAGGGGGGGAATAGGGGGCCTCCAAAGGCCCCTTCCAGCTCTGTTACAGTCCAAGCTCTGGATTTTCTGGGAAGAAAGGACAGGATAGAAATGTCCTTAACCGGCTTAAATCCACAATGAAAATCCTGACACCCCCTCTCCCCCTCCCATTGCTGGGCTGGTGGCTCATTCTGGAGGCTACAGTCACCTCTGCTTTTACTGGTGAACGTCACCAGGCTCCTCCAGAGCCACTGCTGGGAAAGCCCAGGGGCAGCTCCCAGTGCTGGTCCCAGGACAACCCCCCCCCCGCTTCCTTCGTTTACGCCCCCAGGCCTGGCAGACGCTCTCCAGGCAGCTCAGCAGATCAGTGACAGGGAAAAACAGCAGGTTTTTAATTTAGTAACTCAGGGGGACGTGAGACGTCTCATCTTCTTTCGCTGCAGGGATTTGAAGTGGCAGCTCCGAGCTCAGCGGTGGACATCTCCAAGCACGGGGCTGGGGCGGGGGGTCCCTCGCTCGCCCCGGGGAGCGGTCGAGGCCTGCACACAGCTGTTAGACGACGGGCCTCGGGGGAGCACGAGTCTCCAGGCTCGCGGCCGGGGCTCCAGTTGGGAAGCAGGTAGCTCTGGGCTCAGTCCCTGCTCTAATCACTGTGTCAACATCTCACGTCAGACATCCCGGGGAAAGGGGGCTCCGAGCAGCCCAGGAGCAGCTCCGGCTCTGCTGCCATGAATATTTAATGGCTCCCGGCACAAAGGTGAGACGCTTCCCGGCGGGAGAGCCCCACAGCTGGGGCAGCCGGGGGCACCGGGGCTGCAGAGGGACCCAGTGGCCACAGGACACCACGTGGGGGCCAACAATAGCCCCTGAGGCTGGGCCCACTGCCCAGCACAGCGGCTATCAGTCCCAGTTCCCTCTGCCTCCCTGGCCCGGGTGCCAGACCCCCTGGTGCCCCCCGGAAGATGGAAAGCTGAGCACCAGGCTGGGGCAAAGCGCCAGGCTCCCAGCTGTCTTCCTGCAGCCCTGCTCCAAGCAGCGGGCTTGTTCACATGTTCACTTCAGCCTGGGATTTGCAGGTTCAAACCTGCTCGGTCAGAGGAAGGAATTAAACCATGATGACCACGTCTCAAGCGAGTGCCCAGATCACTGGTTGAAGGGAGCAGGGATCAGCTCGGTGCTGGTGGGAGGCTCGCACAGCTACCTCACTCCAACAGAGAGGCCTGGGCAAGGGGAGACACCAGGCAGAGGCAAGACTCTCCCCCAAGTCTGTATTTATTTAAGCATTTAAATCCCTCTAAGGGCTTAAAGCAATTCTCTTTTCTCAGGTATTCCTTGTTGCCTAACTCAGACTCCTCGCATACACTCTGCTTGCTTCTGCGAGCCGTTCTTTCCAGGGCCCGACCCTGCAAAGCACCGCATGGAGCCCAAATGAAGGGTGCAGATCCAGCTGAGCAGGGAGTATTAGCAGCCAGGAGCACCCATGCTCATCACTCTGATGTCCAGGGATGCAAACAAGCACCACAAACAGCAGAACTTACAAGCTTGTGACCCTCTGGCTCAGGCCTGTGTGGATTCTCCCATGTCTAATACTACAGCTGAGGTCACGCTGCAGCCTTTCCCTTACAGAGAACCAGTCATTTGCTTCTCTTTATCCAGCTATTTTTGTGAAAGGTCTAAATAAGTTTGCATCCTCTGCTCTTCTGCCAAGGGAGCTAAACTTGGCCAACAGACTCAAAGACTATTGACAGACAGAGGGAGATCCAGCCAAGATGCATTTGCCTCACTTCCTTAGGAAACCAGGTTAGAAGACATAGCTGACCCCATTTTGCATGCCATAAGTTCCTCCTCCTCCTCCTCCAGGACTTTGCCCCTGGCTAGCTGAAATCACTCCAGTCAGAGACTTCCTGGCATTGGGGGAGCTGCTGTTTGATGGCGACCCTAGGAAAGGATCCACTGTGGCTGGACTCGCCCACTCCCTTGCTTTCAGAGCTCCCCGTCCTCTTCTCCCACTCCTTTCCAACTCCAGCATCCCCAGATGATCACAGTCCCATTCAGCCCTGGGGGAAGAACCTAGGGAAGCCCTTTTCCCCCTCCTCGAAGAAGCTGTAGAAACAGCCAGGAGTGAGGCCTTAACCTCCAGGTAATCTGCAAAATACCTAGACTTGGCTTGTATTTCCTACTGAAGAATTCAACCCTTTGTCTGCTGGGTGTCCAGCTGGGGAGGGGCCATGACCACACTTTAGATCCCCTTTTCCTGCCTAATTGGAAACCTTTGATTTGGCCGTGCATGCCCCATCCAGCGAGCTCCCACCAAGGAAAAGCAGAAGGTGCCTCTCACAACTGCCAGCCTGTGCAAAGCCAGTGCTTAGCACCCTTCTCTGGCCTGCTAAGGAAGGTACCCCTTGTCCTGGTCTCCCTCCACAATGTGTCTGTCCCCAGGACAGGGCTAGGGATGCTCCCAGTGCTGGGGGTGCCTCTACGGGGACGCCTCATGGAGCTGCACTCGGTGGGGGGAGGCAGACGCAGCGACAGAGCGCAGGAGCCTCCGCGTGAGCCTGGCCTCCTCTTTCTCTCCTTCCTGCCTTTACCCTCACGTCCAGGAGCAGAAAAAAAAAGCATTTTTGCAAGAAGGAGAAATAAATGCCACAGGGTTGAAAAGCAGAGTGTTACTCAGGGTCTGATGCCCCAGTATGGTGCAGGATCTGGCCCAGGCTGCCTCTCTCCCTGCTCTCCGATCACTTCTGGCACTGACAAGTCCCATGGCTACACGCAGCTGCCCAAGACAGCCCCAGCCCTGGGACAGCCCCAGCCAGTTCCTCCTCCTCCAAGCTCACAGAGCAGGAGTCCGGCAGCACGGCTCCGCCAGATAATCGTTGCAGTGCCCCCTGCACTGCTCCACTCCAGGCTGGGGTCATGCACCCACAGCAGCCCCTGCTGGGTGCAGCCCCCCACCCATTGCCCCCATACGGGAAAGCATGGGGGCCACTACAACCCTGGGAACCTGGGACCCCTGATGGCATGCAGCTCCCATACCTCTTGTATAGCCCTCTGCACACACACAGAGGAACCCCGCACACCCACTGTACACACATTGCAGGCCTGCTGCCAATACACTCATGCATACACACACACATGCATATGCACACACTCATCCACACTGCTTGCATGCACACCCATGCACTCACCCCGAATTCACACACACTGAATGCACGCTGCATGCACACTGCACACATATTCATGTACACACATCTAGCATGCAGTCACACCCACACATATACACAGACATTGTGTGCTCACACATGCACACTGCATGTGTGCACACCCACAGGCACAAACACACAGCCTGCACACAAACACATTCAGGCACACTGTGCACATTCACACGCACATTTTCCTGCATGCGTGCACACACCCGGAGGTAGGCACACACAAGCCATGCACACACGGCCTGCATACTAACACCACACACACATATTCACGCCCAGCTCCCTGCACCCATGCACACGCATGCAGGCACACACTCATACAAAAACCCCAAGCCTGCTCCGCCGGCCCCCCAATCCCTCACCTCCACTTGGTGCGCCGGTTCTGGAACCAGGTCTTCACCTGGGCGTCCGTCATCTTGAGGGCCTTGGCCAGGGCAGCACGCTCGGCTGAGGCCAGGTACTTCTGCCGGTGGAAGCGTTTCTCCAGCTCGCAGATCTGCAGGCGGGTGAAGGATGTGCGAGGCTTCTTCTTCTTGGGGGGTGTGCGGTTCTGGTAGGGGTGACCTATACGGCGTGTTACAGTGAAGGGTGAGAGTGCCACTGGGGGGGACACGGGA